TTGGGGGTCTGCCCTACCTGCCACACCGCCTCCGTGCCTTTCGTTTGCAAAGAGCGGCAATTAAAGAGCATAATATCGCAAGGAGCCTTTGGGGGAAAAAAAAAAAAAGGGGAAAAAAAAAAAAGGCTTCTTTGGCATTTGCAAAGACAAATTCTTTTAATGAGGGATCAAAGCCTCGGAGCCTACCATGTTACCTGGGAAGATCACTCCCTGCTTCTCCGGGCTCTCCTTTGGTGCCCCTGTGAGCTGACTGAGCACGAAGCCATCAGCAAAGAGGAGCAGATGACTTCTGCTCTGCCCTCCCAGCGCTTCCAAAATACTCATCCAACCACGCCGCAAGCACCACTCAGAGATGGTAACTATCGCCCGGGCTCTCAGAATAGCCAGGCGAATAAAAATAATCCCGTTCCTTTGATCACTCCCCTTTGTTCAGCAGCGAGCACTCCAGCAAGTGCAGCTGGGGCACACGTGCACGGATCCATCATATGGAAGCCTTGCAACTCATTCAACGTTTTGGTCTCATCCTGAAAGGTCTCGATAATCACCTCCGCCTCCTCCCGAGGTGCTGAGCAACATGTTCAGGGGGGATCCAATGGGCACGTTCACCCCTGCAAGACCAAACCACTGGTCACGGCAAGCAGACACTCCAGAGGGCAACCGAACCCAGGTGCTCGCTGGCACGTGCACCACCAGCTCCGTGGTTTTGCGTGGGATTTTGTACGGGTTTTGCGTGGGATTTTGTTACCTGCGTACCCACGCGACCACATGTGCTACTAGCACGTTTCCACGCCAAATCGCCCGGATGCAACAAGACCCCGTGATACGCAACCATCACTCTTTGCGTGGCTCCTCACCGACCCTCGCACGCATGCCTGCGTGCGTACGCAAACCCCCAGGCAAAATATAAATACCAGTTATGGTCTGCGTTTCTAAATACAGTTCCAGAAAGAGCCACGGGAAGAGGAAATGTGGATGATGAGGATTTCCCCGGCTGCTGCTGGGCATGCAGAGAGAGGGGCAGCCCACTGCTCCCGGTAGGTCTGACACCGATTTGGGGACAGTCACCTTTGTCCCCTCCCCACGGTGGCAGCTCGTGGGGCTCTGTGCTTGCAGGCTCCAGGCAGGGGCAAGAGGGCAGATAGTGAAGGGATCGCTTTGCCCTCTCCACCACCAGTTTTGAGGCTGTTTGGGTCTTTTGAAGGCTTTGGTTTGCTGGAAAACTCCCACATGGGCTTATGGGATGACCTGACCCTCACATAGAGGTGAAGCAACCAGCAGCTGCTTGTACAGAGAGAATTAGGAGGAGGCAATTGTGCTATTCCAACCTGCGGCTAGTAAAATATAATAACACCTGTAAGTCGTTCTTACTGCCCCTCCAGCTTATTACCTAATAAAATAAGCCTAGCACATTAAACATTGGTGGCGTGGTTTATCAAAATCACAGAACCCCAGACTGGTGGGGGTTGGCAGGGCCCTCTGGAGATCACCCCGTCCAACCCCCTGCCAAAGCCGGGTCACCTAACGCAGTT